TCTAATAGCAAATACCTACATCATTAACTAGAGTCATATATGGTAGGTAGGAAAGAAAGAAACATAAAGATGCTATGAAGAAATAATTTTTTAAATATTTTTAGTTGTAAATGGACATAATACATTTATTATTTTTATGTGGTGCTGAGGATCTAACCTTCACATGTGCTAGGAAGGACTCTACCACTGAGCTACAGCCCCAGCCCTGAAGAAGTAATTTGAAAAGCAGTTTATAAAGGATATAGCACAAGTTAGACCTTTAATTAATCTTCATGACTTATCCACTCATTAAATTTAGTTAACTTTTGGACCTGCTTGTGGATAAGGATACAAGGAGGAAAGACCCAGCTCTTACCCTCAGCCAGCAGATGGTCCTAGCACATGGAGTTGGCACCTCAGCCAGTAGACCAAATTACTATTGCCTGTTTTTGTAAAGCGAGTGTCATTGGAACACAACCATGCCTGGTTACATATATACTATCTGTGACTGCTTTGATGCTGTAACAGCAGAATCGCATAGTATAGCAGAAACCATGTGGCCCACAAAGCCTAAACTATTTATATCAGGTAAGATAGACAAACTATAAATAGTAGAGGGAACTCAGAGAGAACAGCAAAGGGACTCAGATGGAGAAACTCCCTGGAAGAGCTGACACTTGAAGAGGGTCTTTGGGAGAATAAATATAAGTGGGTTTTTTAAATATTTATTTATTTATCTATCTTTAGTTTTTTTTTTTTAAGGTGGACACATTATTTTTGTTTTTATATGGTACTGAGGATCAAACCCAGTGCCTCATGCATGCTAGGCGAGCGCTCTACCACTGAGCCACAACCCCAACCCATAAGTAGGGGTTTATCAGGCAAATTCAGGGAAGATAGATATTCCTGGTAATAGGAGAAAATAACATGAATTTATAGGCATTATAATTATACAATACTTATTATAGGTAAAATTGAGTGTTTATTAGTTATGTGCCAGGCATAAGCACATACATATTTGTATTACATTAATTTCTTATAGTATCTCTTTAAGTGCACACAACACACTATAATTAGTTATTTAAAACATGGAAATAGATGCACAACTATAATCGCAGCTGCTTTGGAGGCTGAGGCAGGAGGATTGCAAATTCAAGGTCAAGCTGGGCAACTTAGTGAGAGCCTGTCTCAAAATAAAATTGAAAAAGAAGGGGGCTAGGGATGTAACTCATTGCTCTCTCACCTTGGGGTTTGATCACTAGCACCACCAAAAAAAAAAAAAAAAGACTGAAGTTCAAGACCAGCATCAGTAACATAAAAGAACCCTATCTCAAAATTTAAAGAAGAGCTGAGGGTGCTCAGTGGTAGAGCGTCACTGGGTTCAATCCCACTACAAAAATAAAATAAGGAGACAAAGACACAAAGAAGTAGAGATCATTTGCCCAAGGCCATAAACTAGTTGAGTGGTGAAACCAAGGCTCAAGATTCATGTCTCTTTCAATCCAAAGCCCATCACACTTAACCAATTTGACCTTACCAGCTTCTAAATAATATGACCTAGTTAGAGAATTGCCTAAAATATTTCTTCCCAGAATGGGTCATGTGAAAGTAATTTTGAGGACATAAGGTTGGTTGAAAAGTATCTTTAAGCCCAGTAATAAAGGCCTCAGTTGATATAATGAAGAGTTTATTCTTCCTTATATCTACAGTAGGAGCCATTGGTGATTCTTGCATGGAAATGAGCTATCAGAATGGCATTTTAGAAAAGTGACCATAATTTTGTCAGAGCAAAGAAAGATACATCAAATATTTTCAATATGTGCTATTAGTATTATTGTTATTCAGAGAAAAGAAAGATGAATTTTGGTTGAGAGATCATCTAAAACTTAGGATACAAAAACATTTATTTAGTAAAGAAGCTGATTCTGGTTCCCACCCCCTTTTCAAATGAATACTAGAATAATCACCTGGGGCCCGGGGTTGTAGCTCAGTAGTAGACTATTTGCCTAGTATGTACAAGGCCCTGGGTTTGATCCCTAACACTTCTAATAACGAAAATATGAAAAAAATACAATAATCATCCAATGCATGAAAGCCTGAAGTGTTCATTAGGTGTCAAAGTAAATGGTTCATATGACATGCCACAGAAACACCAAAGAACATCAGAGAGAATATGTCATGGTGAAAGATAATGGGCCACAGAGGCAGATAGACATGGGTTTCATTTCTGGATTAGCTATTATGACTCAGCTTAGCTATGATCTTGGCTAACCACATCTCTCACTTGCTACCAGAAAGAGCACTGCATCAGTAGGGTTAACATCATAGGCTCAGGAGTTGGGCTGCTTAGTTTAGTACCAAGTTTCACCACTTATTAGCTATGTCTTTGAAAGTCATTTCTCTTTACATTTCCTCACCATAAAATGCTGCTAATGGAAACTATCTCATAAGAATAATAAGGTTAAAATTAAATGAGGTAAGATATGTATACGCTTATAACAATATCTGGTATGCAATAAGTATTCGATCACTTTATATACACTAATTGAAGATCTGTTGCAGAGTTAATTCTGGAGATTAAGCTATTTGAAGTGCCCAGCATGCTCCTTATACACATAGGCTCTCAATAGATAATGGGTATTTATTTATCAGAGAAGTTAACATGTCAGCATTAGATATGTTCTGTGAGATAAACTATGGTGGTACAAATGAAACCAGAATCATTTACCTAGGTGCAGAAGAGAATGGAGAGAACACAGCAACAAGCCATACAGATTTGGTGAGGGCTTTCAGCAAGTAACCTGTCTGAAGTCTAGTGGATACTGATTGCCTGCACAGGGTTTCTTATAGGGTCCTGTGTGCACCTGCTTGCTCAACTTTATTTTCTAAAAAGAAGTCTGCTTTGATTTCATTTTTATTCTTTTGTATGTTGTCTTTTATCTCTGATTGCTTTTAAGATTTCCTCTTTTCACTACTCTTAACAGTTTGATTATGATATGCCTTGATGTATTTCTCTCTGTATCTATTCTGCCTGAGATTCATTAAGCTTCTTGGATCTCTGGGCTTATAGTTTTTATTAAATCTGAAAATTCTCCTACTCTTCCTTCTGGTATTCTAACCTTCAAATTCTGTCCACCGGCTTTTCTGAGCCCTGACCTCCTACTCCTCCACTCAGACCACCAAGTGGTTAGGTCCTCCCTCTCTGCAGATTAGGGAGATCCTGAAGCAAACTGCTTCAGGCAGCAAGTTGGGGCCATTGTAGGACTTTCTTCATTGATTTCCTTTTTACTGGGAAAAAAGTCTTGCACTGCCTGTTGTCCAGTGTGTGCAAACTATCATTTTCTATGTTCTTTTGAGTTTATAATTATTCAAGGCAGGAAAGAAACCTTGGTTCCTATTATTCCATTATGGCCAGATCAGAGCATACTTAAAAGGACATCTCAAAGACAAGTTCCTTCAAATTACGATTGTCTGCTGGGGCTAAGGTTGTGGCTCAGTGGTAGAGTGCTTGCCTAGCACGTGTGATGCATTGTGTTCCATCCATAGCACTACATGTAAATAAGTAAATAAATAAATAAATAAGATTATGATTGTAGCCTGTGAGTTGTTTGTTTTTCTTTTTAAGCAGTGCTAGGGATTGAACCCAAGGCCTCACACATGCTAGACAAACATGCTACCACTGAGCTAAATCCACAGCACACAAATTCTGATTATCTGTGGCTACAAATGGATATTCATTGGTACTCATTTGAGGATGGTCCCATCATTTCTTCTGTGTAGTGAATCTGTTTTAATTTTTGGTGGGGGATGAGATGCTAGGGATTGTACTCAGGGGGCACTAGACCACTGAGCCACATCCTCAGACCTATTTTGTATTTTATTTAGGGACAGGGTCTCACTGAGTTGCTTAGCACCTTGCTTTTGCTGAGGCTGGCTTTGGACTCGCAATCTTCCTGTCTCAGCCTCCCTAGCTGCTGGGATTATAGCTGTGCGCCACCAAACCCAGCTGTGCAATAAATTTGTAATAACCCTCAGCAGTCAGCTTAGAAGTCCAACTCAGTTCATGATGTACTAATAACCACTAACATATTGCCATCTTTTAAAATTTTCTCTTAAAATGCCATTAAGTATCCAGTGCCAGGATGCACACCTAAAATCCCTGCTATTTGACACACTAAGGCAGGAGAATCCCAATTTCTAGGCCAAGTTGGCAACTTAGGAAGACCCTATACCAAAAACAAAAATTTAAAATGTCTAGAGCACATGTAGCTCATTGGTACAGTACTTGTTCAGCAAAAATGAGGCCCTGAGTTCATTCCCCAGATCTACCAAAAAAAAAAAAAAAATGACATATATGTATTAACTAAAACAATTCTCTAGCCAGTTCTGGGGCATGCTCCAGAACTGTACTCTCAGCTGCTCAGGAGGCTGAGGCAAGGAGGACTGTTTGAACCCAAAAGTTCAACGACATTGTGAGACTTGGGCTCAATAAGAAAACCACACTACTATAACAACTAAAGACTATCATCATTAACTGAGTGCAAGGCCTGATGCACTCCTGAAGTCACTTATACTCCTGGATGAATTGACTTTTTAGCATTTGTATATAAACATGTTTGAAGAGAATATTCCTTGCAGGAGTTTGTTGATAGGTCAAGAATTGTGTTATTAGATTATTATGGAAATAAGTAGGAAGATCAAGGCCTAGACTAACCCAATGTATTAATTATAAACATTTATTCTTTCAAGTATTTTCTACTTGTGATACCTTTTAACCTTGTCGAAATGAAATCTAGTAGAAACCTGTTCAGTGCATTCTCTCTCAATTTCAAACACTTCAGCACAACATTTTGAAGGTTTTATTCCCCCTGCTGTTCTAGGGTGGGGTCTGGAGCTTATGAACAAGTTGTGATCAAACGCTAACAGTCAAGCCGGAGATCTGAAGCTTCCCTGTGGATTTAAAGTGTGGGCAGTTGATATATGGAGGCATTTTAGTCGAGCACTTAAAAGGAATCTGTGAACCTCATCTGTCAAGAAGAAAGCCAATGCTGATTTCGTCTCCAAAAGCGCCCACCTTCCCCACCCAGTGAGAAGGAACATCTGAATGGTATTCTCAAGGCAGTGTGCCAGAGTGTGCCTTGGAGGTGCACTGCTCCTGTGGCCACTGCACATGACAGTAAAAAACTGTTCTTTCTTTCAAAATACCCAATGGGAAAACAGCACTAGATATGTCTGAGTATAATTTTAGTATTCAAGAGTAAAATCTATGATAGAGGTGCTCAATAGATTGGGCTGTATGTTTTTTATTTTAATTTTACATTTTAGATATAAGTGAATATAATTTAAATTTAAACCCTATAAATTCTGTCAAGATAGTTATTAAGTCCTCTTAAGGAAATATTCCATATTATACTACCTAAGGTATTATACTGTTTATTAACTCATTTTGATGCAATAATTGATATAAAGTGTGGGTGTTCATGCTTTGGGAAAATGTTTTACTACAATAACATAAAATGCTTAAAATTATTATAAATATATCAGTCATAAATCAAATGACAAGTGTGTTTTAAGTCTGAGGTAGGTAAATGGATGTGATGTTGTTATTATGTGGTATATAGTATTGTTATTTGTCATTAACATTAGATGAGCTGCAGAATCCCCACTAGCACTATACATGAAGATTTAAAATAAGCTTAATATTCAATGTGTTAGGCCACCATAAGGCACCCAAACAGAAGAACTATTTTAATTCACTGAATTAAGACCTGCTGGTTTCAACAGTCAAAATTTAGAACACGAGGAAAATTGTGATATGATCTGAAACAGAGCATCCTTTTCTATGAAAATTCAGGCTTGTCCAAAGCTGAAACTTACTCTGACATGGTAGTGGGTAGAAAATAGGAAACAGCTACTTAACATTACTGAGCTGAAGGATTGGTAGTTTTCCATTTTAGCTTCCTATGGTCAGATATTATGTTTTCTTCTTTACTATATCAAAAATTAATTGTTTTGAGGCAAGAGTAGACTGTAATATACATCAAATATGGCTTTAAAATATGAATATCTCGTCTGGTTTCAGTTTCACAGCACAGCATATAAACTTTAGAGGTTTTCTGTTCTTATATGACCGTCTCCATGTGGAAAGATCAAAACCTTCTTGGAATCAAATAAAAACTCAGTCACTGAAGAAAAACAGATTCCTTAGAACCACTGATGTCCCAGTCCTTAATTTCGAAATCATGTTCAAGAAAGAAAATGTCAGAATAAAATTGGTCTAGCTTTCATGTTGGCAAAATATCCAAATTTAAAGGTTTGGAAAAAAATAGAAAAGTTCATGTTAGGAACTTTTTTTTTTTAATTTCAAAGATTGGATATCCCATATTAATAAATTTTTACAAATAGATTCTGAAATTTTTAAAATATTCTGAATTCTTAAATTATTTAGAATATTTTGGATGTTGAAAAGGTTTTATAAGTCCAATATGTTTTTTATTTTTTAAGATATATTTTGAAGGCCATGTGCGGTAGCACACGCCTGTAATCCCAGCAACTCAAGAGGCAAAGGCAGGAGGATCCCAAGTTCAAGGCCAGCCTCAGCAATTTAGCAAGGCCCTAAACAATTTGAGAGACCCTGTCTCAAAAAATAAAAAGGACTGGGGATGTAGCTCAATGGTTAAGCACCCTGGGTTCAATCCCTAGTATCAAAAAATAAAATATATATATATTGAAGAAAAACCATTGACCTGAATATTTTAGTGAAATTATGCTTGGTTAGTTTTCTTAGTCCAAATAAAGAAAATGATTTATTAAGAGGTAAAGACTCCACTGTTCTATACAACTACAGTGCACTGGTTTTTAAAAATGTGGAAAGAAAAAAGAAAAATCCAAAGCAACAGTGACTGTGAAACTAAGCAAAAAGGAAGAAAGACTTGTCTGTCTTCAAGTGAACTGATCCTTATTACATATTATGGAAAGAAGCAAAGTTTTAGAGATAGGAAGATAGAAGATATTGTTTAAAGAGATATTTATTATGACATTTTTAAAACATATTTTTCTATTTTCAAAATATTGTTTCTAGGCTATATTTTATAGGCATTTTGGCAGATGATTTTGCAGTTTTAAAAATGATAAAACTAGATTATAAGCATGGTTCAGTGAGGATACTCCTCAGACCTGTAAAAGGTGCTTTAGTCAGGGCAGTGCCCTTGTCTTACTCATCCCTGGCTGACCCTGGCCTTGTCTCTATTCAGATTAGTTCTTGGTATTTAAAATGGTACAGAATGCTTTTTTTTTTTTTTTTATGAAATGTGAAGAGATTTTAAAAGCATGAAAATCATGCATTTATAATTTTAGCAGGCACCAAACCCTTCTTAATTTATATAGTAGTAAACATAAAAAAAATAAGCAGAAACATTAGTTAAGAAGTTAAGAGGGGAAAAAAACTTAATGGCCATAACCTTTGCAGTCAAAGTTTGGATTCATTTATTTATTCTCATATTCCATTGGAATACTTTGCATTCAAATTTCGCTACAGTCCTATCAGAATATTTATTAAGGGTTGTTAAGAGTTAAGTGCCTTCCTTACTACTATAGTTTTTCTTTCCCTAAAACTTGTATTGTTAATCTCTTAACCATGTAGCTATTGGGAAAAAAAAAAAAAAAAGCTGCTTATTAAATACGAAGTCCTGGGCTGAGGATGTAGCTCAGTGGTTCAGTGGTAGAAAATTTGCAAGTCCCTGGGTTCAATCCCCAGGGCTGGGAGAGTGGGGGTGGGCGATATATATAAAGAAATAGACTTTGTGTGTATATGGTATCTATATCTATCTATCTATATGATATATACTTATATACACACACACACACAAAGTCCACTTTTTAAGTTTAGATAATTGGACTTAGAAACTTTTGATTTTGTTTTAATAAAATGGATTTTGAAAAGTAGATTCTTAATAAATTAATTTTTAAATATTAAAGTCAAACTTCTAATAGCCCAGTGTTACATAATTTGCAAATATGTAACACTTTTTCTAGTTCTGTCCTAGAGAAAAAGACTAATGGCAGTTTAAAGCTACATGTTTGAGATGAGATAAATAAGAGTCTTAAATATCTTGTTGAGAAGCATGCACAGGCCAGTTAGTTGAACAGATGTTGACTGAGACAGACAGGATATGAAGGAAGGGTAGCACAGGGCAGAGAAGGCCCTGGGCCATCAGTTTACACTTTAAAGGTTGACTCCCCTTCGTAGTCTTCTGTGTAAAGGCTTCTGTGTACAAACAACTAGTGTACATTAGTATTTATGATCTGAAAAAGTCTTGACCAATAATTCTAAACTCCACCTTCCCATTCCAGCATAAAATTATCAGAATAATATCCAAATTAGATTCTTCTATATATGCTTTTTTGAACAAAACTGTGAGCCACAAATGTTGACCATTAGCTCTTTTGTTGCTGCAGGGAAAAAAATAATCTTCAACTTGCCTCTGTTCAAAATGTATTCAAATTCAGGCAGGAATGAGTTTTAATAACTTAAAGATCCCAGAGTAATTTTAGACTTTCAGGTTTCCATGCTAACTAAACTGCTTTGCAAGCTATAAAATATTTCAATGCTCTGAAGTGCTCTGAAGTATTAGGCTTACATAGTATGACAAATCCATAATAAATCTCTGAGAGACAGACTGGGCTCATATGATGGGGTTGCATTCTATTTTCTTAACAAGGCTTTAATTTGGGAAGTTCTGAAATTATGCTTGGTCAGTTCTCTTAGATGGTACGTCATGTGAATATAATCAAGTATAGTAGTTGAAATGATAAGCCGCTGTTCATATGTTGGCTTAGGTACTATGCATAGTGTTAATAGCTGAGATGTTAAAAAATATAAAACATAAAGGGTAAAATATTCCTGCATTAAGCCTATTTTAAGACTGCCCTGAAAATAAAGGCCTTGTTCTCTTAAATATGTGATTTTCATAAGATAATGTATACATACTGTATTTTAAATGGTCATGTGGGTGGTCTTCCCATGTGACAAAGCTGATAAAATTTTTAATTTACATACAATGTATTCTGCATTTTCAAATGTTTATTTATGTATATAACAGAAAATTCTCTAGCTGATATTCATTGACCAAATCCCACACAAGGGAAGACATTTTTTAGTATATACAAATTTTATTGTTTTTTTGGGAATAGATCTTATTTGGGGATCACTTTCCTCTTGTGTGTTTATTTGACCCTTTGGTTGATTAACTACAACCTGTATTAACTTCCAATCAATCAATTTATGAAAAATGCTATTGGTGGCAGGGGACTGGCTCAGTGATAGAGCACTTACTTAGTATGCACAAGGCCATGGGTTTAATCCCCAGCACCACCAAAAAAAAAAAGGTTATTGAAGTGATTCCATCAGTATGCTAATACTTGGAGAATGAACTTCATATTTATATATTTCCTTGTTTCAAACAGTACAATGATAGTCCAGGCAATGTTTCTTTTTTTAACAAAAAAATTTATTTGTAAAATGTTTGTAATGTAAAGATGAATCTCATACATGTTCAATAAAATATATATCTTAAAAGTTTGAATATTCTTTTTATTTTAAAATTAATATTCTGTCATAAAACTGTGCCAAGGTAAGAAAATAAATAAAAATATAACTTTCTTGACTATATAGTATCTGACTTTAACAGCTCCAGTGGAGACATCTGTCCAAACCATGGGGCAGCCCATGGAGTGGCATGGGCTTTGCTGAGAGACAAACCTGAATCTGAATGCAAACTACCTTCTGAACCCATTTCCTCATCTAGGAAGGAGATAATACAACTGACTCTGTCAGATTGTGATGAAGAGCATGAGTTAAGAGTATGCTGAAAAATTGAAAACAAATTTAAAAAGAAAAAAAATTCCATTTAGTAGGCTGAGGTGTTTGTTTTATTGCTTTTGTTTTGGGTACTGGGAATTGAACCCTGGGGGTGCTCTACCACTGAGCAATCTCTCTAACCCTTTTTATTTTTCTAGACAGGATCTCACTAAGTTGCCTAGGTTAGCCACAAACTTGTAGTCCTCACTCAGTATTTTATCAAATCAAAAATAGCTTTTTAGCATCTACATGCATATAGTAATTCTCATGTTGGTGGTTCTTATATTAGTGATTCACAAGTAGTGTGAATTAATATTTATGATTTGAAAATCATAATCATTTGGGCACACAAATGGTTACTGAATGTGCTACTAATAGAATTTAAGATCAACACTTAAGAGATTTAGTGTCACCCATATCCTTGTCAGCTTTTCTTCCCTTTAATTACAGATTGGTGGTCTTCTGTGGACAGCACAGATTATGGAAGGTTATATGATTAACATGAAGTACCATGCTTATTGGCAGAAGCTGGTAGGTTGTGGGCACCAGGAGAGACCTTCCAAACCCCTCCCCCGTGCACAGGATCATACAGGATTGCCCAGGATAACTTTGTAATGGGTCACAGCAGAACCTGGAAGGACCTCTGATCTGTCCTCAGACATCCTTGTTCACATTTCTGGCGTGGGCCATCTTCTTATGACTTAAACCACCTTACCTCAACACCTAGTGGTTTCCCCTTCTCCCTCTACCCATCCTTCCTCTTTTACCTATTTCCACCTGTTCCCTTTCTGTGTCCCTATGTATCATTTATCTGATATCAGCACTTAATGAAATCTGTCCTTCCATTTGTATAATAGGGTATCATGAATGGAATTCATCCATCTATGTTATATGTCACATAACAAAAAAAATTAGGGAAAAAATAGGAAAGGCTCAAATTTAGAGATTCCCTGGGTTAGAGATTTCTATCCCATGTGTACCCCATGTGAGAAAATGCCAGAGACCTTCCTGTATGGATTGGTCTAGACCCACCCCACTGCTGTGCAGTTCTGGCCTGAGATACTTCAAGTGGGCATCCCTATGAGTTTTTGTGGGTTTTGTTTACATCTTAGATGACAAGTGTGAGCAGTTACTTAAGAAAAGTGTGCCACCTTCTGGCACTGAAAGCCAGTGACTTAGGGAGTCTACTTTTCCCAAATGATCTGTGACTGCTTCTCTTTGATATATACACCATGAAATTAAAATCAAAGGAAAAACATTTTGTGGGGGGCAGGGGTTAGTAATACTTTTAAATACTTGGAAAAAAAAGATTTTATAGCATTGTTTATTTTGCTTAGACCTTTTTTTCCCCTTTAGTGTGGGGTTGACGAAAGATTCTGGAATTACATTTCCATGAGGATTCCTACCAAAAATGACTAAAGAGCAGCGTGACTAAGTACATGTGGACAGAGGTTT